ACTGCTGTACAAGCATGTTAATAGCCTACGAAAGGTGAGGCAAGGATTTCCTCCACTCAAGACGGCTGATGGCCAAACAAGAACGTCTACGGAAGCTGCAAACGCGCGGCAGATGCAATACGCCCCCACGTTTCAAAGAGTCTTGCCATCAAGCGATCTACCGAGCTTTGTATTCTGCTCACCAGGAATAACCCACATCACTTTTACCGCAAAGGCTGTATTGCGAAAGCTGACTTCTCTACGCAAACACAGCTCGCCGGGTATCGACAATATTCGTCCAGAGGCATTGGGAGCAGCAGCAAACCAACTGGCAGGACCTTTAGCTCAGTTTTTCCAGCACTGCTTAGACCAGAACCAAGTTCCCGCCATGTGGAAGCTTGGAATAATAAGCCCGATTCACAAAGGTGGAAGCAGAACTGATCCCTCCAACCACCGCCCAGTAACCCTTCTTTCTATACTCTCCAAGGTCATGGAATCCATAGTTGCCGATGCACTGGTGTGGTATCTGGAAAACTGCAACCTCATCACCCCTGAACAGCACGGTTTCCGTCGACAGCGGTCATTTACAACTAATTTACTAATTGCACGCAGTAGTTGAACCGAGGCAGCCGACGCTGGAGAAGGTGTTGATGTGATCTGCCTGGATTCTTCCAAGGTTTTCGATCGTCTAGACCATCGGACACTACTATCCAAGCTGCAGCATTACGGGATCGGCGACCCTCTTTTAAGCTGGATCGCCAACTTTCTATTTCAACGGCGATTAGTGGTCAGAGTTGGGAGCTCTTTATCGGACCCCATACAAGTCGTGTGGTGTGCCGCAAGGCTCGGTTCTAGGTCCACGTTTGTTTTTGGTGTTTATTAATGACCTTGCACAGGGAATCGCCTCAAACTTCCTAATGTTTGCCGACGATATCAAGGTCTGGCGCAGGATCCAGGCGAACGCCGACCAACATGTGCTTCAAAGTGATTTAGATAGAGTGTATCAATGGTCAACCCAAAACCTATTGCATTTCAACGTCAGTAAATGCAAGGTACTTTCCATCCGACATCAAAGCAGCTACTCATACCGACTCGGAATGGATGTACTGCAACAATCAACTCTCGAACGTGACTTAGGTGTCCTGGTTCAAGATGACTTGGGTTGCTCCAGGCAATCCGAAAAGGCCTCGAAGCCCGGAAACCAACATGTGGGGCTGTTGAGGCGGGCGTTTGGACAAATAAACAGCCCCATATTTCGACAAATGCTCAGTGCGTATGTTCGCCCCCATGTCGAATACGCAATTCAAGTCTGGCATCCATGGCTGAAACACGACCTTAATGCACTGGAGCAGCCACAACGCCAGGCATCTAAGAACGTAATTGGAATGCGCAATCATTCCTACCAGGAGAGGCTGCGACGACTAGGATTGTTCAGTGGAAGCTTTCGCAGGCTACGAGGCGACCTGATTATGACATACTTGATTCTGCGAGACCCACATCATGTGTGCCGCCCTTTACTGCAACTCAGCAGCAATACAAACTTGAGGGGCCACTCATTAAAACTTGCAGAACAATACAGTCGTCTGGAGTGCCGCAGAAATTTCTTTTCCATCCGTGTCTGTCACCCGTGGAATGCTCTCCCAGAATCGGTCGTCTCTGCACCGACAATAACAATATTTAAAAGACGGTTGGACGATGCACTCATCCACTTACACTTTGTTACTTAAGACTACGTCTCCATCCTACACCTGGAGTTTACCATGAAATTATTTGTTGTTAACTGTGGGTGCTGTGAATCTAAGTGGATCGCAGGACTGCAGCGAAGCAAACGATAAGTCCATATTTTCGTATTTAAAGTATTAACTATTTTACTATCCTTATCATCATTATTGTTATGTTGATATCCCGTGCAACTATCCAACGGGACTTGCAAAGCAACGCTTCTTAACCCGTATAAATTCATTGTTCATTGTTCATTGCTTTTTCGAAGTAGTTCGGCAGAAGCTGATCAGTGGTGTAGTCAGGAAGAGCAGCAAGAATTTGGTAGATAAACACATTTAGTCTGTCATTCGAAGGTTCCTATTTGGTGTTAAAAATGTAAGCTGCGTTTTCCCCCATACCCCGTAGTTGGTCCAGGAAATAGACGACAAGTTATAGGTCTTTTTCCTATGTAATTGCAAACTGTAGAAATGTCGCTGCCCAAATTACTTTGGTAGTGTTGTCGTAATTTGTATTGCTCTGCGTTATCAACCTTGTAAGTGCAATCAGCAAGCAAAATTTGCTGAACTGCTGCATAGCAGCCCTTCGGCAGAAGCATACAAAAATCAAATTTGTCATGTGCCATCCGAATATGCTTCATCGCCAACCGGTTGTACCAACGCTAAAGTAGAACAGTGGCATTGTAGTATAAAACTTTAGTAACATCCGTAAAAGCAGAACACCTATAATTTAAGAAGGATGCACAGCGGAAAAAGATAGGAAGGCCGTCCGAAAGGAAGCAGTGAACCAAATGTTTACTAGGGGATACTCGAGACGGATTCGGATGGTTGGAATTCGCTATAAATACAGAACTTCGATGGCCACCTGGAGGGTATCAAACAAAGACAATTTCAGGGTTATTTTTCAGTAGGGTCGAAGTCTCCTTTCGACACTGATGCAGTTATATGACCCAGTTCCGCAGCTAGAACAACTAGTTGCGTCCATAAAATTAGTTGCGAAGTCTGAACACGAGTGTACATAGACCGAATTGCAAGGGATCTACGCAAACGAATGATGGAACACAAGTGGCGCTGAGTGCGGCCGCCGAGGAATGAACTTGAGTACAGGACTCCACAATGGGATTCGGTAGTGGCGAGGCACGCAACAGATGCCGTTCATGAGCTCGACTCGGGTAACTTCGCGATCAATAGGAGGAGTTTTGTATGACACCCCAAAGCCTAACTGCTGAGGCTGCTGAGATTAGCAACGTGGACGATTAAGTGAAGAGAATGGGCGGGCTGTCTTAACTCCACGAGTCTGAGAAGTGTTGGTAGATGGATCCGAGCAGCGAATCAACGTCAGCTCTTCTCCACACATGTGACTGATATGGGCTTACATGTATGTGCTTGTAACGCGGTTCACTTGGGACCATTCCATGCAGCACTTGAAGTGACTGACCTGTAACGCAATTTACCTTCTACCTACATCCCAATCGTTGTGCTTATCTGCCCAATTTCTTGTGAGTGCTATGCCAGTCATGCACTGTTTCATATGAGCTGACGAAGCCTTGGTGACAAAAGCGAAACCTTGCCATCAACAGCCGGATGTACGTCGTTTGATCGACTGGCAATTCCAGGCTTGGAAGTTGCTCGGAGACAAACGGCACCAGTTCGTCATTGAGTCCCACGTCCTCACAAACTGCAGCAATGATTCGATGAAGGATGAAATCTATTACCAAATTAACATTCACCTTCGTTACAAAACGTACACAGAGACGCCAGCTAAACGGCGAAGCCAAGTGTGCTAAGTGGTTGTCAAAGTACGCTGGCACCCGGGCTGAGTAAGCACCCAGTGAACACTGTCGAAGATCAAGGGATGCATATTCGCCAAACGTTAATCTCAACAGGCATACCTTCATGAGGAAAATCAAATTGTCAAACTGGACATTGGGTCTCTACAAGTCTCTGGATCTTCTGGACGTTCGCCGACGTATTCCGGCTGAAAGTGAATACAATGAGACTCGTAAAAATCTCACGGCAACACTGCATGCTAACCCGAAGGAAGACCGCGAAGCCCGGTAGTCTGCTCGTGCTTCAGAGATAGAAACACCCACTGCTGTCGGTAATCATCGTAATTTATTCGGTCTGATACTGAAAACACGCAGCCGAAAACTTGTTGTTAGCGAGAAAATATGCGATTATCGCGGTCTTCGCAGCTTAGTCCATGTCTGGCGCGAGCACCGCGTGAACAATAAACCTGTTCCGCGTCGCACATTTGGTGCAGATAGTGACAGTGAACCGCTCAGCACCCATAAATCACGTATCAAGCTCCGATGGCTGGGCGACATGTTGAGCATTCCAGAGCACTGACTTCCGCCACTTGGGTTGTTTGCGCGCTGGGGATGTGGTTGAAAGAGGAATCCAACCGATGATTTGTTCGAGGTAAATGAAAACATACACTTCGATGTTAGTGTTGTTTGGCGCTTCCCGACTGCCTGGCTGGGGTCCGAAGGACCATGAACACGTTTGCTTGAACACCCTTGCTGATATGGCGAAGAGCTGGCTCCAATGGCTTTTGTGTTGTGAGTTTCTTTGTCCATCCCTTCTCCTTTAACTTCACCCTCCAACTGCAATCTCTTACGAATTTCATAACATAATATTTATCTAGTTATTACGCTTTTTAAATATTTGTAGTGCAATTTTTAGTATGTTATTTTTTGTACTGTGGCACGTTAGATGAAGTGTGTCTCTCACTCGCAGCTAAGGTATATTGATGAGATGATGATGACAACGATGTTAATGATGACGATGATGAGGATAATGATAACGATGATGCTGACGAGACGTTGCCTAGAGCACCCATTTCAGCAGATGGGAGAAAGTAAAAACTGCCTTAAACTTTCGACGCACGGATGCGAACAAATGGTGAACGCTGACTGGTTGACACACGGACACATACATCATCTACCTTTCTGGTTGGATAGTGGTGGTTGAACTTGTCATTATCTAGCAACGATATCATCCAAGATCTTGACAGGTATTCTTGGCAGGCATTCACCACCGCACTCGATTAACTAGTGTTGCCTGGATCTCCAATCCACCGGCTTTGAGTTCATAATACCTAAGACGAACACACAATGATCGCATCCCTACGCTCACTCTTGGTACTTACGCCGTAATGCTTGCGACACAGTAGTTGAAGTGTTTCTTACCCTTAGCCAATGTGTATTGATGACAAGGAATTCGTAATGCACAAGGTTTTTAAACTCCGGCTACTACTTCAGCATTGGGTATGACACTCACGTCCTAAGATTAGAAACTTACGTGTACACGGATGTTCATTACATATGGCGTATTCCACTGAATGACCGTGACATTCCATCTTCCGAGACACGTTAGGCATCAGGGACGGACAGTCACGAGTGCGCACGCTGTATCGGACTGTGCCACAGCTCGGGCGACATTTGTCCCACGGAGACCACTGTGTCCATTCACCGACCCACCGGCTGCAGGCAGACCCAGTGTAGCCCGGCAGGCAAAGGCAGTGAGCCTGGTGATAGTGATAACAGAGGAAAAGAACAGTATCGGAGATGTTGTTTTAGTGCGAGGTCAAGATCACTTGGTCTTGTTGCATGCGCTTACTTGGGTGCCCGTTTCGTGTGTCACACATTTTCCGTACAGGCATACCAGGGATTCACAAATGGTCCGCTTGAACAAACAATTATCGTACGGCAAAGCTGGGTTTGGGATCCACGGTTGTCCATTGCACTTGCAACGATAATACACATCACCCTCGGAACTGGTGTACGAGCGACACCAATTACCGGGGTAATTCACGTTACACGCCTTGTGGCCAGCAATCATGGGACCCCCGTTGGGCAGATATGGATGACGAACATGCGTTTCGCAAGCGTCCACTGGATGTTGACATTTTGACCCGTAGAAGTGTGGTTTACACACGCACTTGGTAGTCTTGTAAACAGAGAGTAGCAAAGATGGATCGTAACTCGAAACCATAATACAGTTTTGATCAGTGCGTTCCAAGCATACTTCAGTTATCAGTTCATTCCCAACATAAACTAAATAATATATATAGGGAATGATACGGATGCAATAGGCACTAGTAAATCAGTTTCTATAATCAGTCAGCAATCGCCACGATGTATATCGATCAGTCCTAAGGGTCAGACAAAATACTGTTGTTAAGCTTAAGTCGAAAATAATGCCTTAACAAGAGCGAGAAAAGTTATGAAAGTACGCCGTGAGGAAAACAAATTATTTGACGCACAAGACCGATGAAACACATTGAACATTTTGCTAAACGAAAAAACCACCCATAAACCTAGTAAGATTTACTTGTCGACATAACACGGCACAACATTGTGAACTGCGAATCATTAGAGTGACATTAGCATCCAAATCGGTGTAGCAAGTATTATACTTTCTGCAAGTGCGCTACCACATAAGTCCTGTGAGATACGTATCCATCCTCATTTTTCTTAGAGCATGTCCACATCGAAAAACATCTCGGAAGGACTTAACAAGCAGGATCGCTGGAAAAACGAAAGCTGAAGTTCCGCAAACCATCAAGTCGCAAAACTGAATCGCCAAAATCAAAAAGGAGCAGCGAATCTGTATTTCCGAAGCGAATAAATGTGTGAGGCCATGGATGGTTAAGTAATGCTATTATCCAATTAAATTTGGTGGCGTTTAATGTTAAAAAGCTGATACACCTTCAGTTGCTCATTTGTTCGCCGAGCTGGGAAATTTGTTTGCAAACGTTTCACCGCCATGCGAGGCGGCATCATCAGTGCGTCGAGATGTGGAGTGTAATCTCGCTGATTGAATTGTCCATCCGTGATGGGCCAGCAGGTGATTATTCGAAAATGACGACGTCCATATGTGTCCCGTGATCTCTACCTATTTCCCAACGGCGGAAATCGTCGCTCGGGTTGTTCCTATTCAAGCGGCGTCTCATGATTTCTCTAAGTTCTCTTCGTCAGAGGGGTTGGTAAACTGGGTCAACCTCGATATGCAGGTTGATCGAGCCTTTTGTTGAGAAGCAAGGCAACAGTCATCACAGAATGCCTGAACAGCAGAGAGCAACCAATCAGGAACCTAACGACCGAAAGCGTATGCAAGCTACTCCAGCGGTGTCTGTCAACCTACCGTTCTTTCAAGGGGAAGATCTACGAACAATTGAAAGGCGTGCCAATGGGATCATCTATATCGGGACTAGTCGAGGAAATGGTAATGCAGAAATTGGAGCGAGATGTATTCCCACTCATTAATCCGAAACTGTGGGTCCGCTATGTTGACGACACTTTTGTGATCATCAAACGCAATCAAGTTACAGTCGCACAGCTGCTATTGAACAACGCCATTGAAGACATCCGGTTTACGATGGAAATGGAGAAGGAAAACCAACTGCCTTTCCTGGATGTATTAGTAACCATAATCATGGAAGGGGGCTGCAAACGTCAGTTTACAGAAAATGGACACATACGGACAAAATTATGAACTTAAACAGTAACCACCAGAAATGCCACAATGTATGCTGTGTGCGGACACTATTTGCTAGAGTGCAAACACATTGCAGTACCGAGGAGGCGAAGCAACAAGAAGAGAAGCATCTATTTAAATGATTCCAACTCAACGGATAAACGCGAGGCTTCATCCGAAGGTGTCTGAACCGCAACAATCCAAACAGACAGTCTACACCAACAACGGAGAAATGCGTCGTTTTACTTATATGAAGAATATATCCGAAATGGCAGCAAGACTATTCAAACAACATCACCTCATCGTAGCACACAAACCAACTGCTTTATTGAGAAAAACTCTATCAAAACCAAAAGAGCAATTGGAAGCTCATGAGCAAACTAATGTTGTGTAAAGACTGTTGTAGAAACTGCAACAAGGACTATGTTGGCCAAATAGGTAGAAAATTACCAACAAGGTTACAAGAGCATAAAAGAGCATGCAAAAGGCACTATGCATCATCGCTAGTCTTAGTACACTTGGATGAAAAAGAACACAGCTTTGCTTGGGCCAAAACAAAAGTCCTGGCACGAGGCGAAATAGGAAGAGAAAGGGAGTTCCTGGAAGCGTGCTTCTCAACAAAAGACTCGATCAACTTGCATATTGTGGTTGACCCAGTTTACCAACCCCTCTGACGAAGAGAACTTAGAGAAATCATGAGACGCCGCTTGAATAGGAACAACCCGAGCGACGATTTCCGCCGTTGGGAAATAGGTAGAGATCACGGGACACATATGGACGTCGTCATTTTCGAATAATCACCTGCTGGCCCATCACGGATGGACAATTCAATCAGCGAGATTACACTCCACATCTCGACGCACTGATGATGCCGCCTCGCATGGCGGTGAAACGTTTGCAAACAAATTTCCCAGCTCGGCGAACAACTGAGCGACTGAATGGTCAACCCGACCTGCCAGTTTTTTGAAATATCTTAAGGACACACACCTGACTTATGGCTTTGATTTACCGTGCCACAAACTCTACGCAGAAAATGGACTGCTACCTCGCGACTGTTCTAATATTTATTCTTAAGGAAATAATCACTCTCCTTTTGATCATTTGTGATTTCAGTGTTCATTGTTTAGAAACTCCTGCCACAATCAAAGAACATTTCGATGCCTGCAAGTAGGAGTTCGCAAACAGTGCTCTACGTTACAGTCGCGCTATTTTGCCCACGCATATTTGTACAGTAACAGGCTATCTGTTCTGGATCAAATGCCTTCCAAAGGGAAATATATGGTCAGTGTGGTGTTTGTGGACTATCCTTTGGACCGCCGTGATCTCGCATTCATCAGTTTCAACTTCATTTGGAATATCAAACTTAAAACCATGAGATTGTGCGCACCTTCATACGCCACGACCGCTTAACCCTGCTTATACATGCTACAACCTAGTCGCTCCTAGCCCAAAACCTACCGGAAATCGCCAGGTTGGTATACGTCAATAAATGCGACTGAAGAATTATAGACACCTCAGAAACAAGAGCTTGCGCTGAGCCCAAATAAGTTTCTTTCCTAATGAGCTGTTCGGAAATAGATAGCAGTACGCAACGCAGCATCGCGACTGTAGGGATTAGGTCCAATGCCAGAAACATGGGACGATTACGTAGTCCAACTTGAACACTGCACTTATCTGCACAGAGGAGACAGAGCTGTATGTCAGCAGAACAACGTAAAAGCCTCCAGCACTAACTGCAACCTGTTGTACAAGAAATTTCAAAGACCTCCGTAAGTTGGGACAGCCAATTGCTCCACTCCATACGTCTGATGGTCCAATACAACGGTCAAAGCCACAACACCCATTGCGGACGCAATAAGCTTGCACCTTTCAGAGGACCTTACCACTAGGTGATCTGCCAGCAGTTGTTACCCGCCGCCAAAACGCACCTGCATCCCTGTCACTGTTGAAGTTGCGCAATCAGAGCTTCCTGCCTGTTGACCCTACTCACCCAGTGGTAATGGGTGCGGCTGTAAAACAACTAGCTGAATATTTGGCTGTTTTTTGGCGTCGTCTAGACCGAAATCAGGTTTCTGCCCCTGGAAACTTGGAAGGATAACTCTGATTCACACAGGCGCAAACAAGACCGGTCTTACAAACTACCATCCTGGTTAGCTTCTTCATGTGCTGTCCAAGTTCATGGGATCCAACATTACCGATACTCTGGTGGGCTGTCTGGGAAACTTCTTTTAACATTATGCCCTTGTTGTACGGGTTCCGTCGACAGCGATCGTGCGTAAGGAATTTATTGATCACAGGGAGCAATTTACTGAGTCAGCTGACGCTAACGATGACGGTATGTTTTACTTGTATCCGTCGAAGGCACTCGATCGTCTAAATCATCACATTCTTCCCTCCGAACATTAGTCTTATCTGGATCGTTAACTTTTACCTTTGATGACAATTGATGGTCAAAGTAGGGACTTTCTCTTCTGACCCCACGCAAATCGAATGTGATATGTCACAGGGCTCATTTCTATGTCTACGATAGTTTTGGTGTTAACTAATTACGTCGTATAGGTAATCGTTCAAAGTTTCCAACTGTTTGCTAACGACATTAAGGCTTGGCATAAGATTCAGGAGAAGTCCGATCAGCATCTACAGAGTGGTGAAGCCACGGTACATTAATGATCAATCCAGCATTCACGGCATTTCAGCGTGAGTAAATGTACGACATCACAGCAACTACACCTACATGCTAGGGACTTAGGTACTGCAACGAACTTCAGTCGAGCGTGATCTGGGTGTGTTAGTTCAAGAGGACATAGGTCGTTTCTGAAAATTCGAAAGGGTCTCAAAAGCTGGTAACCAACACGTTGGGCTGTTGGAACTGGCCTTCAGACAAATAAGAAGCTCTATTTGTTGGATACTCAGTGCATACCTTTGCCCGCATTGCGGACACGCAATTCGAGCCTGGCCGCCATGGCTGAAACATGACCTCAATGCACTGCACCAACCTCAACGTCGGGGTGTCAAATATGTCGCTGGAATACACAATCTTCCATAGGAGCAACTGGTGAAATGTTCAACATTATTCAGCGGACAGTATCATGGCTTACGAGGCCACCTTCTGATTGCATACTTGAGTTTACACAATCTAGATAACATGTGCCGTTCTTTACAGCAACCCAACAGTAACACCATTGTTGTATCTACACGTACACTAGTCCCCTGCACGCAGGGTCTTGAACAAACACGACCAAAGCCCCGAACGAGGAAGCAGAACTCTACAGGTACGCAACACAAACTTCTATTCACGCCAACGGTACATGCACTCAGTATATTCAGAACAACCCTTGTATTGATCGCGAACGGACAGGCATCCAATCACAGGCTACGAAGTGCGGTCGTGGTAAGGCCCGCGCGTACGGGCTACCACACTACTCCCCCTCTTCAGCGGTTGGTTCACTGCGGTGGCCCTCGTTTCAGGA